AACAAATACAATATATTTATTAGACACCTAACACTGCTTCTTAGGTATAGTGTAAAAAATACTTTCGGAAGTACGCTCTCAGATTCGTTTAATGATGACTGATGACCGGTTGAGCAAATGGTTTAGGAATCCTAACGCGATTTTCAAAAAATTGTCTTGAAAAGTGCTCATTTCGACATTCATCAGTCATCATGAGGCGAATTTTACCTGCTTTTTTGCTCAACAAATTGCTCATCAATCATCATTTGGCGAAAAGTAGCGTCAACTTAAAAATTTAACTTTAGCTTCACAAAATTAGATTGTTTAGATCGTCAGTATGTAGGGCCTCCAAAATGTATTATCTCTGATTGAAAATTTAAGGCCTCAATCATATTATTATCTCCGTGATAGCTGTTAGTCTTGCTCAATATATGAAAGCCCCATTCGCGCGTCGAACATTCAGTATCATGAGGGAGAGGGTTTCGCACACCCTTAACAAGTTACCAAGTCAAACTCTGGAGCCGACACACAAGCCCTGCACGTTTATTAATCGTCCGAATGAATTTTCCACCCATATTTACCGACAAGTCAAACCGTAAGACTTGGCGAAGGAAAGTTGGAAGTAGCTTGCTAAAGCACTTAAGGGATTTTCAATGGACGGTCAAGTTGTTTGCAGAGGGTGAGGCTGGAAGGGGTCTGATGAGATGAGTAAGTTTGAGGGACCTGTCAATCTCACTGGCAACACATGAACCGTTTTTGATAAATGGTGGAGGCCGTGCTGTCCTGAGAGGCCCTTCAGATGCAGCCAAGTTGAATGCTGTGCTGAGGCATCATAGTCGCCGTGAGTGGATATATTGTTGGGATTGGCTTATGCATTGGAGGGGGACAAAATCTCTCAAATTTTAACGTCTCCTTGCACTACCCTGCCCGATGGGGCAAGAAATGGAGTCGGTATTCAGAGCAATCAAATTGATTGTAGATCGTTCAAAAGTTGAAGTACCGATGTTCGTCCAAGAGGTCTCGGGGCCATGTTTGTCATCTTTGGCGATCGCAAAAACAAGTATTTTATCTCACGATATAATCAGTCAGTTAAAAATTTGGGACGATAATCATACTTGGACTACTCTCTGAAATTATTGAAAACTAAAATTCTTGGCTCGTTTAAGAAACAACATATGTATTATTAGCTTTCGTGTGAAGATGGTGCTTTTTTGGATGAGCCTGAGATAGTAATACCTTCTTGCGAAATGGAGTCCTTTTATTTTTCATGGTTTAAAGAATGATACAACTTTATAATATATCCACTTTTATTGCGATGAATTCCGGGATTAAATATTTTTGCAATGTTGCATTCATAAAGATTATATTATAATGCATTTTGATTAACTCGCGTCAAAGTTGACAATTTTTATGACACTTCAATAGGTCTAAAATTTTAGTCATAGCCTATATCTCCCAGTGTAGCTGAACGATTTACTTTCTAAATAAATGAAGTCACAAAGAGACTAACTAGAGGATTTATATCTTCATGTTTTTCCTCTTATGCTCTCTCTCCATGGTTGTCCTTCCTCTTAGTCTTTTCCTCTATACTTTGGATCTGCTTGGAAAAATAGCATGCATTTTTTGTCGATTGTTGTAGAGAAGATCTCATAAAATCGTAGGCGAAATAAATTCTCAGAAATCACTGCTACCAAGATAATCGTATACTCACCTCTACATTGCAGCCGCCACAAATAACGTCGCTCCTTTGACGTAAGGGCGTATCTAAATTTCCACATGAGCTCTGCTTTACATATGAATCCATGCTCTTTGGGGCTCACGAGGAAATTGAGATATACGCTTACGCCAGAGGAGCGACGATAAGACTCGAGTTTTTAAAACAAGGAAAAAAGAAAAAGGAAAGAAAGGTAAGTTTGCCAAGAAAGATCAAGCGGAAGTGAGGAAGACGTTATGCCAACGTCTGTAATCACCAGACCGCAGATTCATTTTTCGTCAGAATTATCACAAGCATTTAATCGGTGCAAAATTAACTTGTTTCCTGCAACGTTACCAACTTAACTCAAAATTCTTGACTTTAACTTTATATAAGCGTCACCAAGTAACACTGACAGTAACACTTCCAATTTTATGGCTAAATTCTTGCTACTGCATCAGAACGTTTTGTTTGTTGCATAACTATTAATTGAAGGGGCTTCTACCATCGGAATTTTTGGAGATAAAATTGAAATATGTTGAAATTTTTTTCTGCATCGCAAATTGACTACCTTCCTGATATACGGAAATTATTCAACTGGTTGTTTAAAATTGGTATGTATTGACCGAATGATCTACCCAGAAGCAAGTTCCTCTCGGAGTTAAAAACAGAGGAAAAAGAAGAAACGAGGAGGCTGAAGGAAACACAAAAGAGGAATAGTCAGTCAACCAATACGAGAAACTAATAAGTGCATATTACACTTTTTGAAAGATGAGACCGAAACATTTACGTGGCCACAAAATTGTAGTTATTTTATATTTAAGTCATAGACACTGCTCAATATGTGTCTTTTCTCGAGTTTTAGCCTATTTAGCTGCTCCTTTTTCCCGCGAAACAGATGCTCGCTAAAAAGCCAGTGGAATGGCTTAAGTCCGTCAATTATTACTATCACAATTTAAGTTTAAGAGCTGAATATCCCTAAATATTAATCTGAAGGATTAATAGTAGGCGTAATTTTTATTTCTATTATTTTGTTTAAAGTTTTTTTTAGTATTTTTAGGTTTTTTTTTATATCCTGATGGGATACTGCGATCTTGTATGAAAGTTATAAAAAAGGAAAAAAACATAAATGAGGGAAATTCTTGAGATATGCAAGAGTTCGATATTCAAATTTTCCAGTTCTCTCTGTACTTGAAGGGAAACAAGGGCTCACCCAAAAGGCCCCCTCCTCAGCTGTCCTCTGGACCTGCCGCTGAGTACGACACCAACACAGATTCCTCTTTCGAAGGTTCCTCTCCTCGAAATTTTAGCCGATTTTGTGCGGGATATTTTCGGCAACAGCGTAGAACGGCATCGGATATTGGCCCGTCCACGCATGACTGGCCGACCGGACGTTGGCCCAACGCCAATCAGCTCGCACTTGACCATTCGGTCACCGCTGCACCTCAATCCTTGCCACCAATCACCGGGCTTCATCATCCGCTTCTGATTCACGAGCATGTTTACCAGTGCCCCTCTCCCCCCCCCCCCCCCCAGGAGAGCTCAATTTTTAGTTAGGTAGATTTATTGGTTAATGCCTCCGCCAATGCCATTTTGAGAGAAATTGGGAGAATTACCTCTTCTTTTCATCTAAACATTTTGTCCTTTTCATATCACTCTGCTTCCAAGATCCAACATAGCCCTTCAAATCGATGGTGAAACTGCAAAAATGCGTATCTCGGTTTGCGGAATTGCTGACTTCCTGTCATACTTATTCTCTACGTAGAAAACAATTGAACGTCATTTTTTCTTTTAAAAAAAAATTACAGTGATTTTTCCTCTCTTTTTAAAGGATATTTTGTGAAAACTTAAAGCCGTGATGTTAGTTCGGTCTCTTTTTAAAAAATAAAATAGTAGCGGAAATTAATTGGAAACACCGCGACCGAGGTATACGCATTTTTGCAGTTTCACCATCGATAAGTGCGGATGGCACGTCATTTTTTCAGGAACTATAGTGTTTCAGGAAATAGAAAAGTAAAGATGACCCTTTGAAATTTGACTTAAAAAGCCCTTAATGTGTCTAAATGGACCGCGTTAAGCTGAAAGGAACCAAGCCAAATCAGCTATTGTCAAATTTAATCGGGCAATTTTGTTTTTTACATGACAATTAAGCGGATTTGTGTGCAAATTTCAGTGAATTTTTCACAATACGAAGCAAATTCCTCAAAATTTTCTAAGAAATCCGCGCGAACGTTCTGTAGTAAAAAATTAAATTGCCCAGTTGTTTGGCAATATAGCTGATGTGGTTTGGTTCTCTTTTGCTAAACGTGCTCCAAATAGCAGTGGAACCCCTCAACTGGAGTATGACCCATATGACCCGCCAATGAATTAAGAAGAGGATATATTTAGGTTAGTTTTCATTCAAGGAAATGAAGCAGAATCGAAGATCTTAGCCGGTGCACCGCATTTTTTGACTTCCACCATTAATATGAGAATAATTCATCTAAATCTATTCGCAAGTCAAACTTGCGCTCTAAAAGATGTATTTCCATTCCACGATTCACTCAGCAGACGAATCCCAGCCCAGCGACTGGAATCGCGTGCACCGTGCGAGACGAATAAAAAACGAAGGCCGCTCCGATTGGCTGCCCCGCGGATTGCGGGCGGGGCTAATGGTATGCAAAGTCCTCGACCTGGGGTGCAAAGAGTTTTCCTTTAAAAAACTCGAGGCTCAAGAACCATGCGCGGGGGGAGCCAATGGGATCGACGCCGCATTACGAGTATGCAAAGTGAGGCGCGGCCCTGTTCGAAGCTTTCGACTTGCAACCCTTCCGCATCGGAGCCCTTTGTGCTCACCCCTCGCGCGAGGGTGCCTCGAAGGGGTTGAGTCGAGCCTGGTGTGCAGCAAGGGACGCTCCCTCCCTTTCGCTCTCTGCGAAGAGAGAAAGCGGTGGAAATAATAACCTGCTGTATGAACTGAAGTGTATCACCAAATGAGAGAATGGAAATTGAGGATGTATTGTTTCGGAATTAATTATGTCTGCAATCAGTGATTTTTCAGGAGGAAGGACCTTTAGAAAATGACGTTGTGTGCCTTTGGTCACTTTGAGTTAATTTTCATCAGGTTACAATACATACTTATCTCGAATCTTTGATGATTTTGTTCAATGAAATTCATAAGTAATATACCTTTAAGATTTGACAACATTTTACAGATTTTTGTAAAAATTCGTCTTAAAAGTATGATTTTGTGACATCAGCTCTATTGAAACAAAAAACAATGGCATATGTCAGTTTTATTTTATAGAAACTTTATTCTTATATGTTTCAGTCCATGGGAATACAATAAATCTCTTGGAAATCGTACGTTTTATACTTGCGTGGATACAGAGCACAAGGAGGATACGTAGGGTCCAGCACGTTCTTCGCTGCAAGTATAAACAATCTCCTGCTGCATGAAGATGATCCTCCAATCATGCAATTTTGATTGTTTACACCACTGCAGAGTTGTTTGGCCGATGTTTGGTGCATACGGTGATGCAAGGGAGGCAGATATTTTTCTTCTCAATTTTAAAGGTAATTCTTAATTAGAGGACATCTCTATTAATTTTTTTTACTGTAAAAGACGCCTCTCTGTAAGTTTATGCGTAAAATTGAGACATCTTGATGTAGCATTCTTAATGAAATATTTCTCATTAAATAATTCCTCTTCATGTGAGAGGATGTATGTTTTATCAAATCACATTACATGAAAATGTCTGTCAGAGAATGTAAAAATAATTGGGGTTTAGGAGAATAATCATTGTTAGATAATATAAATAAAGCAAGACTTACATGAAGCATGGATTTTATTGTGTAAAGGAAAATGACACTTGAATGGTTATAGAATCGGATACCAATGCCCCACAAAATAACCGACGGAAAAAGTTCCTCAAATTATTTTCTTAACGAATAGTTCTTGGTCATGATTGTGAGAGAATGTATCCTCTGAAAAACACCACATCACATAAACATTTCCATCAGACGGTTGAATAAAATAATGTGTTTTGTTTCCTTGGGTGTTTTGTAATGTTACCTCTTCTCTTCCGTGCGCAAAACACGAGCAAATTTGTGAAGACGTAATCTTTCTTGCTGTAGAATCTCGAATCCCGGTATCACTCTAGGTGTATTCCTCACAACTCGCTTTTAATATCGAGTTATATGGAGAATTCAGCAATTCCCATCCATGCACGAGCTGTGGTCAAGAGTAAAATTTCATCTGTCGATGACAGCTGGTAGGCATTAGATGTTTAGGGTGGTCAGTTCTCATTCCGTGCCTCCCCTCAAGTGCATGGAAAGGAGGGAAAGGGAGGAAGAATAAAGGGAGAAGAACGAAACGAGGAAAAATATTCGTTTTTGACATTCCCTGTATGTATTTATCATTCATTTTCCATTCATTTATATCGGTATTTTTAAAATGATGACCAAATTTCAAATAAGTAAGCTATGCAGCTATTTGTGGCATGAAGTCCTCCACTCACGTTGTTCCTCTCTCGTCCAAACCAGTTCACCTTCAATATCTTGATAGGCAATGTAAGCGACTTGGGGGCAGTAATAGTTGCTCGCAAAAATTCGGACTCGTTCACTCAGTTTATTCATAGCTATAATACGGCTCGATATTTTACTTATTATATAGCTTGTTCCAACCAGTTCGCCTTCAATATTCCGATAGGCAATGTGAGTGGCTTAGGAGCAGTAATAGTTGCTTGCAGTATTTCGGCCTCTTTCACATGGTTTACGTCTAGAAGTAGTGGCTTGGTGCGTCACACCCATTGTTTTTCACTCGCTAAGATCACTTCACCGTCAATATAGGTATATTCCGCTGGCAATGTCAGCGGCTTGGGATCATTAATATTTTCTTGCGGTTTTACATCGTGATTAAGGGAGGCTCAGGTAGATCTTCAAGATTTGACCATAAAAGGACAATTATTCTTGCCAACCTGGAATTAAATCCTGCAATATAACTTTGGGAATGGACCCTTGCAAGGGAGTACAACGACTACAAGTTATGCTGTTGAATTTTACCCGAGGTTTACTAAAATTACATTTTCGTGATGTTCTCCTTGCATTACAACGTTGACCAAATGGAACCTCCTAAGAAAATAAGCTGTTCAAGGAATGACCATGAATACTACGATGAATGCACCGAAGATAACAACGCGAGGCTACAACAGCGGACTAGTTACGAGTCGCAGTTTGTAGATCTGGGGTGCCGCTAAGCTCGCAGGGTTGCGGGCGGCGAGAGGGAGGGGGGTTGCCGAAATTCCCAATTCCAGAGGGTGGTCGTAGGGATGCGAACGCGACCCTCGCCACCCTTCCGTCGAGACGCCGCTCACCGCGTCGGGGGTAGTTCTATCGATGCCTAATTCCTCCTCATTCCTGAAATGTATCAAGTCCATTGGTCTCGCCCTTGAGTTTTGATGAGTGCTCGTGAATTTGCATCGAAGATATAGGATTTTGTATAAATGGTGTTTTTTTTACGAAATTGATTTATATTGGTCTTTTCTACAAAAAAATTACAGTATTTGTTTTACTTTATATTTATATTAGTACTTAAGATAAAATATAGAAAAATAAAACCCTAAAATATGTGGCACATTGTACGCACTACATTATGATTGACATGACATGATTGATTATGACACGCTTTCTCCTATCAGCGAGGAGAATATTCTGTGAAAGTGTCAAGCCATAAAATTGTTCGGCCCCTTTGAAAAAATACAATAAAAGCGGAGATTTTGAAACACTGAAATCGATGTACGCGTTTTTGCTGTTTCACCGTCGATATGGTATCCGCAATGTCTGAGGGAAATGCAAAGCCTGCCTTAAATATAGCGTCATATTAAGAGCAATTTTCGCAAACTTTGAGTGAAATTCAGTAGTGAAACTTCAGAAATAGATCCTTTCAAGGGATTATGATGATTTTCCTCCGTGAAAAGTACAGAACACATGCGAAAACATTTGAGGCATAATTTTGACGAACATTGAAAAAGGCGCGGACCCTTATTGAAATTTGTTAAACCCGTACCTATAAATTTTTCTGTAATTTGTATTTTAGCAGCAGGGCATGTAACGATACATGGATTACATTTTGCAAAAAGGAACCACTATTTCTGGCCCATTTTAGAAACAACATACATACCACTAGTTTCCCTATGCAAAATATGTGCTTTTATGGGAGAGCCAGAAATGGCGGTTCCTTATTGCAAAATGTAATCCACATGTAAAAAGAGATATTTAAGGCGTCCATTCTTTTTTGCTGAACAAAATCCTCGCTTTAAGCCAACGTCAGGTGGCAGCTCCTCATCAAAAAGTAAACTATCTAGATAAAATATAGAGTCAACCCTGCTGAAAGCCCTCCAGACCTGGTCTCCAGTCGAGGCGTCTAAGATCTGCCAGTTTTAATGAAGCCTACATTCGTGCGTATATCCGGACAACTACGTGTGAGAGAGTGTCAAGCTACGTTAACTCTTGAGCCATGCCAGTCATTCCTAACGCTTGTTCCACAGGGTTCATGAGATTGAGAAAACTTTGACATTTTCGACACGCGAGCGTCCATTTGAATGGTGCTGAGGAGGAATCGCGCCTGCAACACGATCTGCGATCGATAGGGAAACGTGACATTTCTCGGGGCGTCATTGGAGCAATCAGCGTTGCAAAGAGGCATGACGCATGCCATTGCCACCGTCGCCGTTTTGGGCGATTAATTCGGAATATTGAACTCGAGTATTCTGCTAAGCCCGTGAGATTTACGGAAAAAATTGATTGCTGATTTAACAACTAAATTGCTGAAAAATATGTCCGACATGTTTCAAAAACACGTATTTCTGTCAAACGGAACTATGTGCATTATGACGTGAGCCCTGTTATGCATGTATTCTTACGGGTCTCAGGTCTCATGTCTTAAGGCACATAGTTCCGTTTGACAGAAATACGTCCAAATGTACGTTTTGCAATAGTAAAGAGCTAATTTAACCACGGGGGCTGTTAAATTAAGAATTTTTT